GGAATCAACGCAGGGGGCTCTTCGGCGCTCGTTCCTTCTCTAGCCGTCATCCAATCTCCCAAGTGTCTCTGCCACTCTGGTGGTTTTGACTTGGCCGTCAGACCCAAGGCACTGGGAACTGGCGCCCTACCGTTTCCCACGGTTTTGGATACATCGGCCCCAGCGCCTGCATCCCACCACATCCAGCCAAGCCAGCCTATCCATCCGTCTGCACGCACGCTTTTCCATCCTTCACTCAGTGCCTGGCTGTGCTGTTCACCACCATCAACGTCCAACGCCCGCACTTTCACAGCCACCTTTCTCAACTCTCGTTCGGATATCGCCCATTCAATGTCGCAACAATAAGCTCGACCCTGTACCGAGATTCGAGTCTGCGGCGTCGAGTCCCATTCCTGCAATCCCGGTCTCTCCACCCGGTCTGGTTTTGCCGGCAGGACAGCAAGGCCAAGGCCCAAGGGACAGACGACGCTCCAATTCCGAGCAGCAATTACGATCCTCCTTCTAACTTCTCGACCCCCTAGCCTTCTCTCGGTTCAACCTCTTTAACGAGCCTAGCTTTCGCCAACGGTCGGGACTCGACGAAACGCAAAGTCAACTCCTGTCGCCGCCTCTGAGAGTATGAAGATGGTGTTCCGATATCCCACACAAGACCTCGCTTACACTTGATTCACACGCCAAACGACACCGCCCCCAAAAACAGACCGTACCGTACCGCAACTCTGTCACTGGATCTCTTGCAACTCGCGGCGGCTGCTGCGCTGAGTGCAGAGTAGCGCCGTTCCCTCAGTCGCACTGCCAGCCCTGGTCTGGTCTTTGTGCAACCACCCTCCTTGTCTCTTCTCGACTGCCCCCAATCCCGAAAGGCCGCCCACCGTCTCCAGAGAAACTTGGCCGCGCTAGTCCATCTGGTAGTGCCTGCTGTACGGTACGGATACTGCTTGGCCTGATACTGGCTACCAATACGGACACTACCACCATAATACATACCATACCGCATGCCGCATCCTGCATTTATCTGCATTACCGGTACACTTACGCCCACCCACGCAACACCCACGCATTTCTGCGACTCTCGTCGGCTCTGTCCAAATCCAGATCCATCATCCTGTTCGAGCCCAGTTTAAACAGCTACACTAGCTGCCATCCTACGTGACGCTACGCCAAAAGGCCTGGCCGCCTCCGTCTTCTCCTCGCCCTTTCGCCATCCCTCAATTGAAACCCCCTACAAAACCAATTCACCTCCCATCTCACTACCTCCGGCTGCGGGTTCCTCTATCCCTCGATTTTGATCAACCAAAATCAGACGAGCTCGAAATTCAAAAAACAGTGGCCCAACCAACCCCAGTATCACCGTTTCCCCGTCCATCTGAACGACGTTCAATCAGAACCACATGACACAAGCTTTCGCCCGCGGACACCTCGTCGCCGCCCAGTTCCTCTTCTCAGCTTCAACACCAAGCAAACGTCATTCCTGCTCCTAGAACTCACCATCCTAAACTGCCCTAGTCCTTACTCTGGGCCTTTTGTGGCTGCCACGGCGCCTCTCGCCCAGGCCTTAGCGTCTTTGCGGATGCCTTCATAATACCAGCCCGCCCCCGAAGCAAGCTTCAGCTCCTGTTCTCGCTCCTCTCCCTCTCCCCGGGACATTCAAGGGACACCCGAGAACTTCCTCGTCGAACTGTCAATATGTTCGACCACTTCACCATGGGGATGCAGGCTCGTCCTGTCACTGATGACCTGGATGCCAAGACGCATCTATCCCCGAGACAACGACCGCGGGACCTAGACTCACCAACGACACCTGCAGCTCCTCCAACCGTCTCGCCAAGCTGTAATAGCATGTACCAAACTCCACCACAGCCCATCGACAACCTCGTTCATGAGCTCAGCAGACAGACTTTGTTTCCCGAATTTCTTCGACGCCCGACCCGGCGGTTGTCAGGATCATCACCATCCATCATCGCAGAGTTGTCGGCGGTTGCTCTTGAGGTGGACAATGACTGTAACATGGATATTTCCATGGACGATGCCAAGGAACATGAACCAGTTGTTGATTGGAAGAGATCAAGGCGGCAATGGCACAGTCGTTTCGTCAACAATCCCAACAACGCTCGCGCCATGGAGGCTCGTCTGAGAAATATGATGTCAGATAAAACGCAATGCGACATCCGCCCACCAGCGACGGCATTACCTACCTCACCAGTGCCCACGTACCCGGATCTACCAAAGATCGAAGCAGACAACCGCCAGAATCTTGAACTGTCCCTCCGACTTGAAACGGATGAGGGTTTCGGTGAAGACGACAACGACGAGCTGATGCAAAGAACGTTGTCAGCCGAAAAGCAACGCTTACTAGGCGGGTCTGACGGTCTTCGACATTACGGAGCATTGAGGTTCAGAGGCTCGGCCGAGACGGCTCTCCGATGCCAAAATGTCGTCAGGCATCGGCCACGCATGCGGAAGCGCAAGGGACCAGGGCCATCTCAGGAGCCGCGCCCGATGAAATCAACAAGCTCGAGAGAATAACCAACTACAACAAGAACAACAACTCGATCATATTTCAACTTTTCAGCGATTTGCACAAGCGACGGATGGAGAATCTGGCGATATACCCATGGGACATAGGCGGCGCATGGATTTGAGTTTAGCAACGGCGTTTCTGGAAGGATATTGTTCTTCAACTTGGTTGCGACAGCGTCGGGTCTCCACGCGCGGCAGAAGTTCCGGCCGTTTCTTTCAAGAACGATATCTTGAGGGGGGATCTTGCCGGCGGCGTTTTCTTGTCCGGCGCAACATCGGAGTTTGGCGTTTACAAGTGCGGCTCATCCACGAAGGAAGCCTGCTTGTCTCTATTTTTTTCAGCCTGCAAGTATGACTTTCGGCACCCGGCACCGGAGGTCATCGGAGTGCATCACGGACGAGAGTTGATCGAGTCATAGACCGAAGGTTGAGGCAAGCCCGGTCAGCCTCCGGGTTTTCGCCCTGTGGCTTGCAGACGGCGAGGCGTCGTTAGTCCATAATATGGCCGAAAAGTCTGTCAACTGACGAAAGAAGCACTGTCAGCTGCTTTATTGAAGTGATTGGACAATGGCTCATTCTAGAGGATTCGAGACGAAATCAACAATCAAAATTCCCCACGTTGCGGAGGGTCGCATCACCTTTTTCAAACGTTTTCAAAGTGAGCAATCGTGATGACTAAGGTTTCACAGAAGAATATCCGGTTTTGATGCTTTCAGAAGAAACGTGCTCCTAAGGGGCTGGGGAGCAGCGTGGAACGTATAACGGCTTCGCGTCACAACGCGAGCAAGCTGTCCCGCTCAATTGGGAAGTCATTGTGGCCAACGCAAACTCTGAAGGGAGAGTCTATTCATGCAAACAGTACAATGGACAATGCGACCACTTTTAAGCCCAGCGACTTGTACTAACATGCCCTATTAGATGTCCGAGACCTCTCCGCCGTTCCTCCCGATAAGTGCGTGACCAGGGAGATAACTTGTCAGACATTCCAATTATCACCGGGCTAACACACAAGCCAGGCCCCCACCACCTTGAAGTCTTACTCTTTCGCTGCGTCGATAGTCGACTTGGCAGTCATAACTCCCGGGCGACGAGATGCCGAATTAGACTTTTTGGCGGTAGACCTACGTCAAACGACGTCGGCCTTGATATGGCACCTGCAGTAGTGTATCATTGGTAGACACCTAATCAAAATGAAGTTTGCTGACAGCCGGGATAGTGTCAAATCATGGGCCGCAGATTGGCTGAGCAGAGTCAGTCGATCGAGGCTGAAGCCTGGACCAAGCTCCGGCGCAAAAGGCGTGATGGTGCCTTGAAGTTGGACGGCGCCATAGCCCTCAGCCCGCGTCTGCCCTTTCTTCCTCGAAATATATCGGAACTTCCTTGTTGTAACCACGATCGCTGCCACTGCTGCTTTGCCCTGGCACATCTGTTTTACCCAGTGGTTACACGCCTTCCCAGTGGGTTGGTTTGGACATGCAGGGAAGGGTGATCAAGACCTTCAAAACCACGAGGGATCACATCACCCCGCATCAACCACGTCAAAGATTTTGGATTGATTGTGGCGTTTTCTGTCTGATTCAGGCCCACACGCAACTCCAAAGCACTGCGGGTATCAAGGTAATTATTATTCATTGACGTCGAGCAAGAAGTTGGCAGGCAAGACCCGACGGAGCGGACTTGGGGTTGCATGTGCCTGCAGTGCGAGTAACGATTTTTCTTTGTTGACTCTCGGTTGGAGGAGGGGAGGGAACAATTGTATGCTGGGACTTTACTCGGGCCCCCTCTTGTCAACCGACGTTGCCGTGAAAGAAAATGCACTGATTTTACCCTGTTTCTTTGATGGTGCTGTCTGCCTGCCATACCCACCCCCGGTTTTAACAGGTACAGAGGGGGGCCGAGATGTTGGACTGGAATGCGGCCAGCCTCGCTGGGTCACTAGACGACGTGGGCAACATTCCTTTGGGTATTCGGTCGCTGAGGGCATCCCTCGCCGAAAGCACGGTGATCTATGCGATCTCAATTCCTGTGTGGTGGTCTCCTGGCTGCTTCCATATTTTGCGCAATTGTTGCTGTGGCAGGATGAGAGACATGAACCGGACGATATTTGTTGACTCCCGTCCCCTCAACCTGATGCGTACTTGCAACCATCGACGGTCTTCATTTCCGTACAAGAATCCCATTCTTCGAAGATTTACCCCAGTTTCCAACATCTTCATTCTCTCTCTCTTTTTCCACTTACTTTGCTGAAAACGATCATTACATCTACTCTTCTTTACAGACTTGCATTTCCTGCCACCCATTGCTTCGCAGCCAATACACGCAGCGGAGCCGATTAACACCCTCCGCGCCCGTTGTTCTGCAATCCCCGCCTTTCCAACTGCTCATGATCTCGAGCTTGGTTCGTTTGCGGAACTGAACGCAGATAGACACACAGACAGGCCGAGACAACAGACACAACCAGAACCAGAGACACCACGAGAATGACAGTCGCCGTCTCGCATTGGACGAGGAGCCCAGACACCAGTGTCAGGCCCAGCTCGCACCCGACAGACTACGAAGACGACATGACATACTCGGAAGTCCATTTCTCAGTAGAGCCCATGGACGCAGACAAAGACAGCAACGGGGGATCGTCCCACCTGCATTGGCAAGGGGTGACAGCAGCAGAGACAGCGGCAGGAGGTGGACACTGGGGGTCGGCCGCTGGTAGTGCAGTGGACGACGGTCTTTTCTTCGAGGAATTTGTCGACCTCGAGAGGCTTTCGACGGCCGGAGGGGACGAGCTCCCTCCGTCCTCTGCCTTACCCGACTCGTTCGTCTACAACATGCCACTCCCCGCTCATGGGTCCTCGTCTACAACAAGAAGCGTATCGGACGATCTGGACGAGCTGCTAAGTTGCCACACACAGCCGCTCGTGGAAGCTAGGGCTAGCGCTGCAGCAGGTCCCGCTGCCACATTAGTGTCCTCATCAGCAGCCGCTAGAGTAGCGGCGGCGACTTCAGACGCGGTGGTTCCGCCAGCTGTGGGCGCTCGGGGTGTGCAGTCTTCGTGGATCGACCGCGCAGAGGAGCAAGGACAAAGGAAAGCTTCTTCCTATCCGGACACAGCTGCTGCTGGCGGGGCCAAGTCGATCTCTGACTCTGAGCTCCTCCGCCTTGAAGGCATATCGTTGAAAGCGTCGCCTTCTCGCGCTCCTTCTGTCGTTGTTTCCCATCCTCCTACTCCTCTTCTTCAGGCCTCGTCCGCTACCAGCAGCAACACAAACCTCCACCTCGCCGGCAGCAGCAATACCAGCAATACTAACAACAACAACAACGTCAACCACACGAACAACGGTGGTCGTAAGCCGAGCAGCTTCTTCAAAGCCGTCGCCTCCAAACTGCAGCAGAAAGCTGCCTCAGTCCGTCATAAACAGCCCAACATGTCATCCGTTGGCGTCGAAATCAAGGGGCCCCTCTCGCCCACCGTCTCGCCTCGCAAGGCCTTCAAGCTTCGCCCCGAGCACCTGACCGGCCTCGGCGGACCGCCTACCAGACTTCCTCTCTCTCCTCCCAACAGTGCTACCATCCCTCAAGACTTGCCTACTTCCTCATCAGCTGGTAGCAACGGCATGCCCTTTTGTGGTGGATACGTTGAGGATCCCTTCTTCGATGGTAGCTCTGTTCCCATGTTCCGCCGCAGCGACCCTACCACCCCCATGGACACCCCCGTCCTCGACGACAAGAGCGGCATGTTCTATCACCACCAACAGATGAGCTCGGGCAATGTCAACAAGGCCGCCTGGCCCATGGCCACCACCACCCCTCAGACAGACTCTCATGCCGCCTGGTCCAACCCCTATGCCACCGATGGCCTCGACAACCAGTGGTGGGACAACAGCCACATGGATCTGTCAACAAACTCACAGTACCAGGCACAGAATGCGCGCAACGCTACCTTCAACCTGGCCATGCACACGCAACAGAGCGAGCTGCCCTACGAATACAACAGCCTCGCTGCCGCCGCACCCGAGATGTCAGGACTCATGATTCACATGCCCCAACCTCGCACCACCTCATCGCCCGTCGTCCACTACCAGGCACAACAGCTTCACCACCCCCAACAGATGACCGAGCGCCGGCCCCGCATGCCCCGCGCTCCTTCGGCCGGCGCCCGCCACATGTGCATGTCGACGCCCATGCGCAAGACCCGCAACCCGAGCCGCACACGCCAGGGTAGCCGCGATTCCTCGACGTCGCCCACTCCCACGAACCGTTCCCGTCACAGCAGCGGCGGCTCACTTGCGAGTGTCGGCGGCGGAGCAGCCCTCAGTGCCAGTGTGAAGAAGCGCCGGTCGTGGCAGCGCCGCGAGAGCATGCGCACACCATCACTCGGAGGTGGAATGGGCGCCGCGGCCGAGGGCCTCGGCTTCGTCAACTTCACCCCGAGCGACAAGAACATCCTCATGACCGGAGTGGCACCCAGCGGAAGCTCAAAGACCAAAGCCCGCCGCGAAAAGGAGGCGAACGAGAAGCGTAGACGGCTTAGCGAGGCCGCCATCAAGGCCGTCAAGGCGGCAGGCGGCAACGTCGACAAGTTGGTCGAGGAAGGATTCGTTTTCTAATCATGGTCATTCTTTTTGCTTGGTGGACTTGCAGCAAAGTACGCATGGGAGCGCCTGGGAGTTTACGGTGCGGAAGGCTTATGGGAAAGTGATATCGGGCGTTTGACGGGATCATCACGCGAGTAATTCTTTTCTTGTCGACGGCTGGTCATCGCTATCTGCTCTTTTACTTCTTTCACAGAACGGCATAGGAGCGCAAGCTCCGACCAATATTGTTATCAACCGTTGACGACATTGGTCGCCACTTACTTATTACCCACCATCACCCACCATCACCCACATTTATTAGGTAGTTAACTTCGGTTTCTTATGTTTGGAGTACACCCAAAATCAAAGGCTGGAACCCGGGTCACGAGATATGGAAGGGGTTGGATATCCTAGCAGAGCAGACTCAATACCAATAACAAATCACATCACAATTAGCAAACAACACTTGCAACTATTCGCTACCTACCACAGTGAGAATCTTTGAGTTCAGCCAAGCGAGCTGTGCGTACATCATCACAACACCATCATCAGATTACCTTCAACACCGGCAATTAGCACACTACACACAGCTTACATGATGTTGCCGATCACACACCATCAACACATCAGCAACAACAACAATAACAACAGCACACGCATCACCGACGCCCGAGGAACATGATGACTGACGCCTCGCGCAGCCTTTGCCAGATCCCAGTCCAGAGGGTCGGGGCAGCCTCTTGCCGTGCACTATGGTGCACTACGGCGGCCGTCGCCCAACCAGCCGTTAGCCGATCACGACCGGACGCTGAGCCCAAGTCACCGAGAGACTTCGCCCCCTCTTCCTTTGACGACTGTAGCGTATGGTTGGCAGCCCGCCTCATCCGTCTCCCGCGGTTGACAGGCCTGGTCTGCCTGGCGATGGGGAGGGGAGGGGAAGGGAAGGGAACGGATGACACCGGGAGTCAACACAGACCAGCATCCGATCAAGCTGGAGGGGATAGATGGGCCAGAATCACGAATCTGCCTAAGCAGCTCGGAAAGTCCAGGCCCAAACCCCAACGCGCGGCTTGTGCTCACAACGAGGCTTGGCAATGACACCAGATGAGGTGGGTGCGGTGGAGCTGGGGGGTGGATGACCTTTGGTGGCCTTTCCGTTTCTTTAAGTCGACATGGCCGCAAACAGATAGCTTCACTCTTTCCCATCTCCCTCATCCCACCACTCAAGGACCTCGCTCCGTCGTCGGATTTCCCGCTAAGCCTTACCTCGTTCTCCTCGCACCCGCCCTCCTCATCCGCCTTGCATCACGCCTTTCCTCTTCATCGTTTCTCCTCACTGGATGGTCCCACCGACAGGTGAGAGCGACAGAGAGAGGCGCAAACCATCCCATCCAGTCAGTGGAGAAGCGAACGGCGTCTCCAGACTGCCTCATCCTTAGCCAAAGGGAACAGCCACAGGTCCACCTGACGGTCTGCTGTCCTGCCTGCCAGCCGGACCTTTGGGGGTTAGTGCGAGATCCCCGTTGCAGAATCTTGCAGCTCATCGCGTCTACTGCACCTGTCCCCGCCTTTCACTCTAGGCTCGAAACCGAAAGGCGCCAGGAGCATGACGGAGCTGGGCGCAGGCTCGCGTATCAATGTCTCACTGCGGAACCCACTTTCTGTTCCATTTGGGCCTCTTGCTCTTCCCTCCTCCCAAATCACGATCTTGTTCGATCGTGCAAAATTCGCAGCAGTTCCCTGAATGAGACAAGTCTCACTTGCCTTCAGACCCCCAGGTGTCACCTCACACCCCTCCCGGAAACGTTAATCCAGCGTCCGTCCACGGCCGTACGCCGCAGCCGCGCTGCGTCTCGACTCTGGGACACACCCCACTGGACCCGTCCTCAACGTCCTCTCTTCAACCCGGATGCAGGTACCGCCTACATCGAGACCAGGCGAGACCTCTCTTCTGCACACCACCACTCTCGACAGGTACTGTACCTGCATGAGTCTGGGCCTGTGTAACCGCGACGAAGAACCAACGACACGCCCTGGCCAGCCGCAGCCGCCAAGCGAGATGTCGCATCGTCGCCCGGAAACAGAAGAATGAGGAACCCTTTCTCTTCACTGCGCAGAGTCCGATGCTCAACCGCCACGAGGAATCCGAGAGATCTCGACCTCGTCGCCATCGTGTCACTTGTTTCAGTCGCCATGTCCGGGAAAGGATCGAGACCCTTTCCCGGGAGGCGTGAAGGCCTATCCGAGGGCTTTCTTACTCTCTCACGACACTGTCAAGATTATGGGTCTCTTGCGAGAAGATTGAATAAGGGACCGAGACATGGGCTGACGACTCTGGATGGGACTTGGAGGAAGCCCACGCAATACCCGGTCCATCGACCCTGAAGGACAGGATGACCCACGTCCTGGTGACGGTGTCTCAGCTGGCTGGCTCACGGCAAGTAGATACGAAGTCGAAAGCTGATAATCCGTCACTTCATGAGCAATATGCAGATACGATATCGTCATACGTCCTTCATGGGCCATCCACGGGGGGGCTTGATGAGGTAGGATCCGAACATCATTTCCTGCTTTGATGTATTGTCTTCCGGCAGGCTTCGTGATCCGGGATCATCACAGTCGTTTCATCCTTCTCATCTTAGCCCTTAATCACCAAGATCTTGGTCAAACATGATCAACATCTAACAAACACAGGCCTCGGAAATCGTTTACATTGTGCGAGAGCAGAAATTCTACACACGAAATGAGCAAAAACGTGTCTTACCGTTGACTTTCTGTGGTAAGCGCGATCCAAATCTCGTTCTCTGACCAATGATTCTCTTCTCAGAGCAAGATATGGCGTTTTGGCTAATGGCAGATTCCGTGTCCAACTCTTAAGGTTGCGGAGGATGTGCGTGGGGCCTTATCTGCCACAACCAAATCCGGCGAGAGGCAGACCTTCTCTGTCGTCGATTCTCTGTCAGCATCTGCAGTGTGTCTTACTCCGGGTCGCATCTTCCGAGCCTCTGCCCTTCTATACCTTTCAAACATCCTGCCGTCCGACACTCCGGGCAGGCAAGGCCTGGCGGCCCAGCCATCAACCGTCCGCTCGGACTCGCCTGGTCGACGGCAACCTTCCTCCTCCTGGCAGTATCCCCGTGGCCATCCCTCAGCCCCCGCCGTCATGACAGCTGCAGCCTCACGCTAACCCACGGCAAAGCCAGATTAGCTCATGATGGCCCTCTGCCTTATGCCTCTTTTTCACTTTCAGCCCGACTTGAGGCGGCCGCCTCTTGGACACGAGCCACAATTTATCCTCCAGTCATGGACAACTGGGGAATTAGCCGGCCATGTTCTCGTCCCGCCTAGACACAGACACAGTCGGGTTTTCCGTACAAAGGCCTCCGGGGCAACTGGACTTTCAGCAGACCGTTTTACTCCGCATCAAATGTCCGTCCTCCACAAGAGTGAGGCTCTGGTCTCGACGTCAAGTGGCTTCACGATCTGCGTCCCCACGACACGACCCCCATGGCTAGTCAGCTCTCCCGCCCGCCAGCGCCTATCTAGGGCCTCAAAATCGTAAGATGTTCAATGTTCAACCAACCAGCAGCCAAGGACCCCTCTTCGGAGGCCCTCCGGAATCTACCGTTGCCAAGCTGTGACCCCTCCTCTGACCATCGATTAACGCTCCATGATGTGGTGCTGGGTCCGGGCAAGCGGCGCCCACAGGTTGGACTACTCTCCCAAATTCTCCGAGGGCCATGAGAAATGCGGCCAAACATCCCGGGAAGCCTAATTCGACACCCCCTTGCGTACAGACCCCGCGATCTTTTTCAGCTGTCAACTGCCAACCAACACAAGTCTTGAATGCAAATGCAAATCAAACGCCTCCCTAGACAGGGACTAACAAACCGTCTTCACACACAGACTGCAAACCGCGGCAAAAGAAGCCTGAATCTTGACTGCAACGGCGTCCCCCAGGCTGGAACAAAACTTCACACCAATCAGCCTTATCATCATCCCTCGAACTGCCGAGAAGCCACCCACCACCAAAGAGCCGACCCCAAAGAGGGTAAACACACTCCATTCCAGGACGACGCCGGCCCCCAAACCGACCTGCATGTACCGTCCTCTCGGTCCCGAAGCACCTGCTTAGCCTACACGTGAAGCTCGAGGACAAGGCCTATCCATGAGTTTGGGGCGGCAGTGAACCACGGCGCCACAAGTCGCTCGACGACTACCCTCGCTTGTCATGAACAAACAACCCGCCCATACCCGCCAAGTTGTTCCCTTCCCGCCGTCAAACGACGCCTCTCTTACCTCCACTTGATATGTCATCATCTCAGGTCCCCAGTAAACAAGCTACGGGCCTTAGCTCCCAAGCGTTCTGCTCCCTACCGCTGCGCGGTACTTTCGCCCTCCACCGTGCTATGCCTACCTCACGATAGCCTCCTCGACGCCCATCCCTCGCGCAGGAACCACCCCTCCCCTCCTCGCCTACGGCTTCCAAGTTGGACGTAGCTCCATCTCGTTCACAACACCACACACACCCTTCCTTCCCCTAGATCCTTTGAACCCGCCGCGAGTAGCAGTTGCCAGTGATTGTGGAAACGAGTCCCGAGACAACTGTTTTCTTTCTCAACGTCCAGCCAAAAAGGAGAACCCTCCCAACATCGTGAAATGCCAAGATGCGTTGAAAAACATAACGTAAAGGGCGGGTTGCCATCAACCCGCCGGTCAAACCTGGACTCCGTTGCTCCAACTTTGCCCGGTCCCATTTTACAAAGTGTTCCCAACCCATCCCTGGCCCAACGTTCCCTCCCCATCATCACCCGTTCCCCCGAACTTACCCTTCTGACCACTCCTCAGGACTGAAGATCCATCGCCCGATGTCCCCATCGATGACCGTTATACAAACAAAGAAACCCCATCACACAACGCCGGAATCGTCCTAGCACCCCCTCTCTCTCTGCTCTACCAAGAAAGGCTCCAGACCACTTCACGGAGCTGCCCGGTCTTACTCCCCGATAGGAAACATCCGGCCCACTCCGTCT